CTGTTCATCTATATAGATAGATAGATAGATAGATAGATAGATAGATATAGAGATAAGGATTAAAATGTCTTTGCTGTAAAATATCTGAAGACTTATTTATGGACTGTGCTGTATCTTTGTGCTACGTGTTCTTAAAGTAAAACGGAACAGTCACACAGTTTGTTCAGTTACAATGAGAGTTTCTCTTTCATCGACTGCGTTCAGTCAGAAGTGGCTTGATTTCACCTGTTTTAAAACAGCTGTTTCCATATTGTTGTGTAAGATGTTTGCAGAAATCTGCTTTATATTATATTGTTGTTGTCCCTAATGGCAACTCTTTCTTTTGTCTCATTTCTTTGATATCGTTTGGTGTAGGCTTCACACACCAGCTGGGCTGATAAAAATAAGTGTGCTTCCGAGTGCTGACGTTCAAGTTTTTCAAACCGTTACCTCTCGCTTACATTAGGAGCTGCCAACACCAGATGTTTTTTATTGGTCTTGAAAAGAATCCCAGTTAGTTAAAAAACATCTTTTTAAAGCCATCAAGCTTCCTGAAATCTTCCCTCATTTGTCTGACCGTGTGACATCTCTTGCGTCGGACCACCAGGGCCGGGTGGAATGCTGGGACCCTCGCGTCCGGAACCGAGTGGGCACGCTGGACTGCGCCCTGAGCAGCCTCGCTGAGGGAACAGAGTACGTAAATGCTGATGTCAGCGTTGCCTATGCATATGTGGCCACATGGCACTTTTTCTTCTGCTTCTGATCCCGCCTCAAATGGCGCTTACCATCACGTCACATTTCTCTCTTTGTGTCTCACTTGTGTTTTACTGTCGGCAGGGTGCAAAGCTTGCCTTCGATCAGTGCGCTGAAGTTCAACGGCTCCCTCACCATGGCAGTCGGCACCAGCACGGGACAGGTGAGCCCAAACGCATTAAGCCACGACCGTATTTTCATGACTGCCGCAGCAGCTGGAGCTTCAGAGTGCTCCATGACACTGGTCTACGACTTTGTGTCTGTTTGCCGTTGTGAACTATCGGCTGCCCACGCGGTGCGAGATTCATCCTCTGCTTCCTGAGCAAGTCGGCTCACAAAGAAGTGGCTGCTGTCATTCTGCCTCCCTCTAAAACTTTGCACTGCTTTCAAAAGGAGCGCAATTTAGTTTTCGTTTTATCTGGTTTAATGCAGCTTAATGTCAGGGCTCCACCGGTACTCCCTACGGAAAATTTGAGGAGCACCAGCACAAAATGTACATTTAATATAACACTTCATAGACATGCAATGCAACACATTCTTTTCCATCTTAACCATATTACTGATAGATTACTTGGTAATAAATAGGCAATTCACAGAAATCACAATGAAAAGTCACAAAGTGAAGTAGTGCTTTTCTGACTAAAGACACCAAATAATAAATAGTGTTGTCGAGTCTGAAGAGCTACTCCTATAAAGGTACTGTGATTTGAACTGATAATAATAATAATAATAATAATAATACATTTTATTTATATAGCGCTTTTCATAAAACTCAAAGACACTTTACATTAAAATCATCATATATAAAAGCAATACACTAACAACATAAAATACACAATAGTGGTCACACATTAAAAGCAGTTTTGAACAGGTGGGTTTTGATTTGAGATTTGAATGTGCAAAGGTCAGTGCAGTCTCGGATGTGTTTGGGGAGAGAGTATTTTGATGACTCTTGTTCTTAACTGATGGTCTTTCTCTTAACTATTAAATATCTTTGATCATGTTTTATTGTAAAGCACTTTGTGACTTTATTTTTGAAAGGTACCTCATGAATAAAGTTCTTACTATTTGTCTCTCCTCTTCCGTGCACTGGGGCTGCATGAGTCATAGTTATATCCACCATGACCAATAAGAGGATGTGTTTTAGAAATGAGTGCATTAGTTCTGTAGTAAAAAGTGAGTGCATTAGTAGCGATACTAGTATCTATCTTTCCCTCCCATTGCAGTCATTGTGTGCTCGCCTGTGACAGCTGCACGATCCACCTGAAGTTACACTTGCTAATCAGACCTGCACACCGTTGATAAATGTCACTTTTTAAGCATGCAACATGCGTCACCACACACACATTCTCGCTCCCTCCTGGTTTTTCACGTGTTATGTGATGGTGATTTAAAAAAAGAAAAAGAAAGAAAGGAAACGTATTTACAGGTTGCACTGTTACTACTAGTCATTAAATGTCTGCAGTGTGGATGTGCTGCTGGTTTTGATGGCCGTCACAGTCAGGGACTCATTTGAAAGCCCACCTCTTGCAGAAGAAATAGATTTCTAAATCCACCCCTTTGCTTCTTTGTCTTGAAGGTGCTGCTCTATGACCTGCGCTCCAACAAGCCGCTGCTGGTCAGAGACCACTTCTACAACCTGCCAATCAAGTCGCTCAACTTCCACGATCAACTGGACCTGGTTGTGTCCGCCGACTCCAAGATCATAAAGATCTGGAACAAAGACACCGTAAGACTCAGTAACAGCCTTCACAGGATCCGACTCATACCCCACGTGAATGACGATGTGTTAAGGGTTGTTTTGATATTTGTGCTTTAGCGTTTTTAAGCGTCCTCGCACTAAGAGTGGACTGTCTTGATCAGTCCACACTCTTTCTGGCTCCATGTATCTCTTATTTATTTCTATCTGTCCACCACAGGGCAAGGCCTTCTCCTCCATACAGCCTCAGACCAACATCAACGATGTCTGCATCTACCCTAACTCAGGTGAGAACCACTTCCCACACAAGATCACGACATAAGATAAAGTTCATTCATGCAGGAAAGTGTCAGAGCAGCAGAACAACAGGAGATTTATAGAAAAGTAACTTTAAAAAAAAAAAGGAGGAATGAAATTGGGTGGTGGGATATATCCGTCTTTGACCTCTGGGTGGCGCCATCTTACAGAGGTCAAACAGTTTGACTCTGCACTTCTGCGTCTGTCACCGCCTGCCAGTCGGTTTTCTACCAGGAGCCTTATTGAAGGTGAACTTTCACATAGAAGTTGTCATTGAAATCATGATTTGGTCCTGACTCGGTCTGGTTTTTTTTTTTTATCGAAGATTTTGTTTTTAATTTGCTTTTAAATGAGGTTTCAACCTTTTTAAAGGAATACTTCACCCACAAAATGCTATCAGTTTGTACGTCAGTTACCCTCCCGTGTTACCCTGATTCCCCGCCTCCACGGTGAACGCAAAATCAAAAACGAAGAAAAGTCTTGATGATTTGAATTGTTCAACAATGTCAAAACTATATCAAAGCATCCTTTTACAAACTCTCAAACAATCCAAGTCTCATTTATCCAGTTGTGTGCTCACTAGGGGTGCAACGGATCATTAAACTCACGGTTCGGATCAGTCACAGATCGCATCAGCACAAAAGAAGGAAGGGAGCAAATATAACTATTACAGATCCCTGACCACGTTTCTTTGCCGCCAATACTAATTACTGATCATTGATGATCTGCTTAAAACACTGTGGACTCGCACAGACGAGTAGCACGCCTGCGCAAGTGTGAGACTGTTGATGTGGAAGTGTTTTAAATAGTATGATTTTGAGGATATTCTGCCTTAGGATATCCAAATTCAAATCTTTATCGGCCTTCTGGTCTCTTTAATCTGCAACGGGGCCTTCACATATACATTACTGGAACTAAATCCAGTGTTTACCCCAGAGATGAGCTCCATTTATATCCGCCCTGCTGTGTCTCCTTGTCAGGTATGCTCTTCACCGCCAATGAGGATCCCAAGATGAACACGTTCTACGTCCCGGTGAGTGCAGAGACATTTACACTCCTCACTGCCGACTTTACAAGCTGCACCAGACCGGTCACGTTCACATCCTGTCCACCAGTTGCTTGTGCTGACACGCACACGCTTTATGGAGCAGTAAAGGATATTTGCAGGCCTCGGTGATTCAGGGGTCATCAGAGGACGTGTAAGAGAAAGCAATTGTGTGTGTGTGTGTGTGTGTGTGTGTGTGTGTGTGTGTGTGTGTGT